ATAAACTGTGAGTTCTTCCTCCTTAATTCAGTCTCCTTCTTCTCGTCGCCCCAACATTGTTCCTCTGAGACGGACGCGACATTGGCTAACTGGAACATGTCCATTACTTTCTTCGATCGGGCCATGGCGTGTGTTAGGCCAGGCAACGCGACGTGGGCCATTTGTCCAAAAAGGCCGCATTCACATCGAAATCGAAGATGAAGTGGATCGTTGGCCTCGATCAGCGTCCTGCAAAAGTAAGTTAAGCCACACATTACTGGATCAGATGTGGGTTTCTTGCGCGGGCGCCCCCTTTTTCCCCTAGTCTTTCTAGTTCTAAGGGGTTCATCGGATATTCCCCGGGGCAGTTTTCTCAGCAGGTCGAAAGGCACTCTAACAGGCTCTTTATTCGCACCTATGAGTGTGATCAGCGCGCTATTGCTGCTGGTGTCCAACACCCGGTAGGGTCCCTCCCAGGGATTAGCTAGTTTAGGGTTGCGATATGATTGCCGCTCTCCCGGTATCTTCATATATACTCGGTCGCCTATCTGCGGAGGAACAGGACGCGAGTCAACTCCTTTCTCGCGATCGTACGAGGCTTTCATTTGCTCTCGCATTTTCTCGTTCACTCCTCGGGCGTACTCACGGGCAATCTGCGTGCCAACCGCCAATTCCTGCACGTAGCTGTCCAGGTCCACGGCGTATTTGCTGATTTCAGTTCCGGCTACATCCCAGGGGACGTGCGCGTCAAATCCATGCAATAAAAAGAAAGGCGACTCTCCCGTGGATTCGTGGACGGTAGTGTTGTAAGCGAAAACACATGCTGGAAGAATTTTGTCCCACTCTACCGCCACTTGCGCTTTCTTCCGTAGCATTGCGATGATGGTTTGATTGAATCGCTCGGTGATGCCGTTCTCACGCGGGTTATAGCCTTTAGTAAACACCTGCTCACATCCCATCAGCTTCCTTAGCTCCTCCATCAGCTTATTTTCGAACTCTCCTCCTTGATCCGATAGGATACATTTCGGCTGGCGACCGCCTTCTGCCACCCACCGTTCGAAAAAGACTCGAGCTACGACTGATGCGGATTTGGATGGAATCGCGTAAGCCCCGGCGAATTTCGAGAAATGGTCAACTACCGCTAGGATATAGCGGTTACCTTCGGTTGTGGGTCCCATTTCTAGTATATCCATACCGACAATCTCGAATGGCTTACTAGTCACTATCGGTTTCAGTGGGGGAACCATTGCGCGTTGCGTATTGTGGCACAAGC